TAAGAAGGAACGTCAATTACGAAAAAATGAAGACGTCAGATTCTTCTTCCCTCATAAATAAACTCTAGCTATTCAGCTAGGCTCTAAAGAGTTAGTGCTTCAGTTTTATGGCTTTTAGTTTTTATCTTATTAATTTATTTGTTCACAAGTACACCTATTGTATATTAACAGAGTAAAAGAGACACAATCTGTAACAGGTATCAGGTAGGTTAAACAGAAAGAGAAAAAATAATCTTCTGATTAAAATGTATAGCAACAATAACAAAGAAAAAAGAGAGGTCTCCAAGTGATTTGTGATCAGTGTTTAGGGCTCATTCACAGTTTAGCCCTGAAAATGCAGCCTAAAATTGATTATGGTTCAAAAACTTCCGCTTTGGTTAGTGCTGGCATAAATAACTCCTAGAATCATTTTATTTATTTATTGAAATGAGCCTTTTCTGAATAACATCGATTTAAATCTTTGTTACAAGAAAAAAAAAGGAAAGAAATCTTCCAGCAGACTTGGAGACCCTCTGCTTCAAATAAAACATACATAGAACATATTTTCTTGAATAAAAAATATAAACTGTAGTTTAATAAAAAAATGAACTTAATGCTAATATTTCAAAAGGTACAATAATAAAATAAATGGCAAAAAAATTGCACCAAACAAAAACCTCTGAGCACAGGGTTTTACGTAACAAGCATGCGGCTACATTTTTCTTCCTACATGAACTCACGCACAGCACTGGACGACACACTTGCTTAAAAGTTTTCAGGCGTGGAAAGATTCCTATTTGTAATAGTACTCTAATATCTGCATGACATTCTCTCCAATGACCCTCGTGGAAAATAAATACACACTTTGTTCTATTTAGAAAATATACAGTGCATCTTTTTTCAGTTTGCTGTGTTATTAAAATGGCAAATGACACCCATTTAACGTACACAAGATATTTTTGCTTTGTCTCTAAAACATGCTCTTATGTACAGTAGTTCTTATAAACATGCAGTATCAATGTGTATGAGCTATGTATATAGGCAAAACTACACATCAATGAGTTGCTTGATTGCTTCCATGTTGCCTTTTTCTTTAGTGTTGCTTCAAAAAGAAGGATTTGTGCAAGATGACAAACAGAAATTTGGTCTTGTTTTTAAAAAAAGACTTACATTAGAAAGAAAAGAAAAACAATTTCAGCAAAAAGATGCAACATCAAAAACTTTAACTGCATTTGCTATAAATTGCACACAGCTAACTGGATGTTTCCTGGTGAGAAAGCATAATGCTCACCAAAACCTATTAGGCCTTTGATTGGCTAAAAAGTTTATTGAGGGGTGATTGGCTTTAATAGAGCAGTAACTGTTGCAAACCGACAATTACCCTAAAAAACTTGTCTCAGAATTTCAATGTGCGAATATAAAGAGCCAAAGGATCTCAATTTCCTTTGTAACTTCAAACAATCAGTAAGTTATTACCATATAAGAAAATCGCAAAGTATTTGTTAATGAGATCCTGCGCAGAGGGTACCTCAAAGGAGCACTGCATATAGTATCATGATTAGGGTAGTATAATATAATACAGGTAGCTACACTGAAATACTTATTTGTTTTCTGCCCATAAAAAATAACTATTGTTTAAACCTTTCATGCATAATTGCCTTAACAGTAGGATTTGTTTTAAAAGCCAACTGTGTATAATCTTCAAGGCTGTTGATGGTACACTCCCATATAAACTTGTCAACAACTACCATTGTGTCACTCTGCTTACTGCTACAGGCCAACAACCTAACAAAAAACACAATGCAGAGCATCTGGTTAACATCTTAAAGTGTTTCTATTGTACAAAACTCTTAAAGATAAAAAAAAAATCATAATTTAAAAAAACGAAGGATAAAATGAGTGTTCACTGTTCTGGCAAATACTCCAACAAGAGTAAAATTTTCTGCAGAAAACAACTTACAATTTGTTATTCAGCCACAGCTTATAGGTACTTTCTGTAAAACAAAGCCAGCATCTCTATATTTTTGTAGGCTAAAGTGCTAAGTATGACAAAAAAATCTACAGATATGGTAGTAAAGTTGATACTCAAGTCCTATACGTTTTAATGCTTGTCACAGGGCCTATGAATATCTCTCAGAAACAAATTCTTGGCACACTGTACTTGAAGTTCTGGAAAATTGAGGACATGAAATCTGACAGAGTTCAAATGACAAAAGATGTAAAAAATCTGGGTACGCAAAAGAAAAAGTTATATTATTGAATGCTAATGTTCTTTTATGGTACTGGAAAAGCGAAATAAAATTCCTGATTGAATAAAAGATTGAAAGATTTAATTAATTTGTTGGGTTTTTGTGTTTGTGGATGCTAAAGCTCAAAATAAGATATAGAAAACTGAACTCACCTTTTTGAGAGAGGTTGTTATGAATAATGCTTTTGAGATTAGTAAGAACTACATTTGAGGAAACCTGGCGCAGGCTTTGGCTCTCTATACTGCACTGGTTCATTCTGTGAAGCAGCACTGAACTCAAATGTGTTTCTTTTTCCTTTCATTTATAAGAGGCGAGCTGTAAGTATGTGCCACAGAAAGAATACATTTCATTACATTTGATCACTCAGGAAAAGGAAAAACACACTTTAAAGAACAGTGTCAGACATATCAATACTTACTAGTGCAATTTATAATCAATAGTTTGGTAAGCTGTGCATAAAATACACATGGATCTGTGCATTTTTTTTCCCCAGACCAGACTTTTTGCAATCATGTGAAATGATCATAAACCAAACAATGTAAACATACACATACACACTGAGACCAAAGTAAGCAGAAGCAAAAGCAACAAAATGAACATCCCTAAACTGTTAAAGCTCTGACTTTTGAGCATATATACACAAAAAAGTTAGGAATTAAAGTGCTCAAGGAATACAAGTGTTTGAAGTTGAACTAAATCATTAAGTAGAAGAAATAATAGAATAATCCAAATAAAAATAAAGAGAACAACACCTTTAACTGGAAGGCGTCCCTGGTAGTTGAAAATTGCTTATTTTGTTACTTGGAAGGCTTGTCTCCTTTATGACTGTAAGACGGTTATAGGGATTCCTTTGAAGTAAAAACCCTTGTGTCAAGTCCATGACTAATGGCAGTAACACTGAACAAGTGAGATACAGAATCAGAGGTGTTGGGATGGGGAAGTCAAGGGCTGTAGGCAGTGACGTGCGGTCAGGGGAGGCAGGTGAGGCAGTGCCTCACCAGCCATCATGGAAAGAAAGAAAATATATAATCATAAAGTAATTTAAATTGTTATATTCATCCGGTGGTTTGTACTAAAAAATATTCATTTTTCATGTAGCTTCACCAATTTCGATTTTTATTTGTTCAAAATCGCTGAATTTTCTTATTTTCCCATTCAAATGCTTGGAAGCGATGCCGGTGAGGCAGCAGCGAGCTCTGCCTCACCTTGGATTGCGCAACCCCTGGCTCTGCGCTGGCTGCAAAGCGGAGAGAGCATGTTGCTGTACGGCGTCAATAAAATTGTTTAAACAAATGTAATATGTGAACTTATTTCTAATAATTTGGCTTATGTATATAATGTACAGAGCTTTTTGTCACCAACTGTGTTTGTGTAACGTGTTTCGTGTAATGAGCGATTATAAACGGCAGAGAACAAGTTCGAGGTGAGGCAGGCAGTTCTCTTGCCTCATGGCAGGGGGTGCTCAAGAGACTGAAAACATAAGGCAGGAACAGGACGGATCAAGAAGGCTTTCTTCCCTGGCAGTGATCTCCATTGAGACAGAGAGACTTTTAAAACTGAAGGAAGATAAGGAGGACTTCTATTCATTTATAAGTAAAGGTAAGACAGTAATAACATTTATTTTGTTTTGTTTTTTAAGGAAATGTGTGTTTTGTGAGCTACAGTTTGTATGTGTAAGGATGCAGAAGTGAAACATAACCTGTAAACTGCTGTCAATCTATGCATCTATTTGCAAATCTGATTCTGATGACGTCAGTGCCTCACCAGCTATGAACCTCACCGCACGTCACTGGCTGTAGGCAGTAATCGACACCTTTTTAATATGTCAGCGGTGGTTGGGATTTGTCTCTCTTTTAATAGCCACTCTGGTGTTTCCAAACTTTTTTGTAGTGTGGATGACAGACGGTGCTTTTTTTAAAATACAATGTAAAATACACAAGCACACTTGTTTTGTTTCTTTTCTTTTGCAAATTATCTGTCATACTCACTATTCAACTCAATGATTTGTAGTAGAACTAACATCAGTCATAAGCCTAAGGTCACTAGAACTCTTAAGAAATAGATTTTTTTTTCTCTCATCACATTGTGTAACATATAAGAAGAGAACCCGTTTAGAAAAGAAAGGCATGAAGTTTTCCTCTCAGTTGTCTTGAGAAGATGAGTGGAAGGTTAAATAATCTGAAAAGGCAGTGCTTTTGGGTAACTGGACTTAATCCCTACTTTGCCACCCAAATCCAGGAATGTACTTCCAACTAACAGAATCATCTAAGAAGATAACTGGCAGGTGTGGGACATGGTGCAAAAAACACCTACGGAATGGACCTGCTTGTGTTGTTTCTCTATCATATGGCAGTATAAAGCATTATATTGTTAAGCACTATTCTAAGCAAACTGTGTCACTAAAGGGAAAACAGGTGAGAAGTATAGTATGAATCAATATGTTATCCCTCTAAATCACCAAATACCCATATAACACTCTTACTATAGTCTACTCTGTAAGCTTAATAATGGAACCATAAGTCCAATATAAAAATAGATCTAAAACAAACATAACTGAGTATCTGTCCATCCTGCGACTTGTCTTCTTTTCTTAGTGAAATGAGTTATTAGAATACAATTTTTTTAACTAGATTTCCCATCATGTCAATTGTGTTTTGGATCTTTTAAGATGATGGCTGTGGGACAGAAATGTGCTGAAGGGAGTAGATTGGTTGTCATTCGGAAACATACATTAATATGTGGGATGTAGATGAAACGATGGGAAATGCACAGGTAGGAAGGTGTGGGGGCATGTGGTGGGAGTTTTTTTATTTTTATTTACTTCTTGGCATTCAGCGCTGCTAAGGAGGCATCCACCTCTTCCTCTGGCTGCAACGGATGCCACTGAGCAATCGGGCGACGGGGATTGGCCAGCATGTCGGACCAGTGTTTCAGCCCGGCCCCTGTGGCCTTGCTTCCCACCCAGATCTTCCCAATGGCGTCATTCTTGCCAATCTTGTCATAATCCAGCACTGTGATGACGGCTTGAATTTTCTGAGGAAAAAGGGAGAGAGCATGACAACCCGGTAAACTGATGATTGTGAAAAAATGTCATAAACGTTCAAGAGATATACATCTTTTTGCAGGTCACTACATGTCTGGATTTATACTTTTACATGAATATGTATTTGAATTTTGAAGTTACATTCTTAAAGTCCTTTTTTAGACAAACTTGAAAATCTTAGTATTACATTAAGTGTAGTACTGTGTACATTTCTAAAAAACCTAGACATGTTTAAACATACCTGCATTTGCTCAAGAGGAATCTCAAAGCTGAAGGACTCATTGTAATATGGATTCAAGGTATTTTTCTTCACTGTCGTCTTCTTCTTCTTCAGCCTCTTTCCATTTTGAAGAAGGTTAATTTTTACATAGGGATCTGACAAACAGATATAAGACAAATTCACAAGATGACAATTAGGAACACTCTTTGCTCATTCAAAACAGGGTAGTGCTACTGTAATGTGCCAACAGATGGAGCCACTTCAAAAGCAGGATGCCTGGTGAAGGATTGGTGAGCACTGCAGCTGTAGCACGTGAGGAGAGCTGCACAAAATTGATGACTGGTCACATTAAACATTCTGCAGTCTAGGTGCAACCAGAAGGTCCTTTTAATCAGGACTCTACAGTAATACAGGGTAAGATGTGGATCTAGAAGATATACATATGATGCTCAATTCTGTTTCTGGAAACTAACCCACCTGATAGTCCCCCAACATCCATTTTCTTTAGATTTTTAGCCTCCAGGATGCAGATGGTGAGTTTGCCGGCAGTTGGGACATAACGTAAAGAGATGCAAATATCACCAAGCTTCTCTGGCTAGAAGAGGGAGCAAAGAGAGTAGAAACTTAGACTTAGTAAAGGGAGATTAGACAAATTACACTCATGAAATAAATTGTTCTGTATGACATCTAATTTGCTTTTTTGGACTGCTTGAAAAATTCTTCAGGACTGAAAAAGCTACAACATCATTGTTCTTTTTAAGATGGTTCGGGAGGGGCAGTTTCTTGGATTAAAATGTGCCTCTCATGGTTTTTAAGAGTGCAGCGTGAAATGGCTCAGTGACAGCTCCACATAACAAGGTGGATAGTTACTCACTGAGCAGTGTAGCATAACAGACATCGAACCGGAATCACAGAAGGAAATGGATTGTTTTTAAAGTCTAAAAAACCAGCAGCACTTTTCTTTAAAACTCTAACATAAATACGCATCCCTGGCAGAACACATGTACTTCTTTAAACCTCATCAGCAGTGTGTATACTGTTCACTCATCATTGTGATGAATGTCTTCTTTTTTCGGCTTCGGATGTCGAATGTGGAATGTAGTCACCATCCCATTCGGAAAACATATATATAATTTTAAAAGCTAGTTTGAAACCCATACTGATATTTTATTATCTGTAAGCAATAATTATGAAAATTACAAGAAAAAGGATGCGAAATATTTCAGTCTTTGTGCAAAAAATAAAACTATCAGTTGTACTTTCTGTAAATATTGACAAAAAATGTTGATAGTTTCATCATGTTCCCAATATCTTTTAACTGTGCCTGCTCTTTATATGGCGTCTTTTAGCTGAGTGCTAGGGAAGCAGAAATTACCTCTTCTTGATCAGCACTGTCCAGGTCTCTCCACTCTTCGATTGGTTTTGCAAGGTCCAGAGTGTTCATGGGTATCTTAATCTCTCCAATGATGTCATGTTTTGAGAAGCGGTCAAAGTCATAGACAGCCATCACCAGGGTCTTCCCTCCCATTTCAGTGAACGGTATCTGAAAATTAGCAGTAAGTCTAATTTTAGTGATTAAAATCAAATACAACAATTTTTTATAAACTTTCTAGCACATTTATTAAGCTTAACATTAGCAATATTATCCTTTTTATATTCACTGTCTACACTATGGTTTGTCACTGGACTGAGAGTTGAGGATTTTCATTTAGTAATACCAATTAAATGAAAGCAAGAGTTCAATGACTTTATTCAGTTTAATTAGTTACATTTTAAAAATACAAAAAATAAGCTCTTATAGAACTTTACATTTTTATTTTTTTTTTTATGTAACATTTTGTCTGCTTAGATTTATTTAGCTGCATACAAATACATGGCTGCCTCACTAGGACTGTCTGACTTTGACTGGCTTTTAAAACTTTTAAATTATTTTGTACAGAGCTGTGTCAGCAGACAAGGTGCCCCCGAGGTGAGCCTCTCCTTTAAAATGATTCCCTTTCAGAATATCTTTTGTAAGACATGTTCAATATCAATGCTTCTATTATCACAGTGGGACAAAAGTCAAACTGTAAAGGAAGACAGAATCTAAATATCCTGCATCAGGTAGATAAGGAGAGGGGGAATTACATTTTTTATAAGACATGCTAACTAATCAAATCAATTGATGTGCAAGATTCATTTGCCCAAAATGATTGATGAGGGGCCTCAAGTCACTTTAAGCCTACCTTAAAAGTGAACGTCTCATTGAAGACTGGGTTGAGGGTTTTCTTATGTACTTTTGTGTCAAACTTCTTCTTCTTGTCAGGTAAGACGAAGACCCTGACGTAAGGGTCTGAAGTGCCTCCACTGTCCATGGAGATGAGGTCAGCTGCTTGTAGAATTCCTACTGTAAGCTGGGGAGTGAAACATCATGTCAGTAAAAGATATTATAGATGCTAATATGAAATATGAAAATATTTACAGATATTTCAACAGAGCCACCTTTAGAGCTAAATTTTCTAAGAAGAAATTAGCTCACATTTTTGCACATCTACATGTACCTGTCTGCCTATCGAAACATTGTCTTCAGCTTATCCTAGATATCATCCCATGAACAACAGGTCCTGTTGAGAAGGGAAATTCTTATTGCCCACAACATAAAGTAGCTCTGTCTCGGGATCTCCTCCTACTAGGATGTGCCCAGTAAACTCCTAAGGTAAGGTGCACCAGGAATATCCAACTCATTTGATTCCAACACTAGTTCACAACACACTAAATGTACTTTGCAGAAGCAATTCAATCAAATCATACAGATTTGTTAAAAGTTTTGTGTCTGAGAAAACCCAGTTAATTGCAGCAGTTCACTGACTCCAAATCAATCGCTCACACTGATTATGCACGCAGCAACAGCAGAGAGGAAAAACCCGCTTTTAACAAGAAGAAACCTCAAACAGAACCAGTCTAGGTGTGAGAGGTCGACTGAGGTTTAGAGGAGAAAGAAGCAGACACAAAAACGGAACATTAAAAACCCTGATCCATGAATACTTTATGTTAGAAATAGTAATGGTAAACTTGCATCAATGTTGCGGCATCTGACATTGATCAGATGGCCGAACCAACTGAGCTGGCTTATTCTGATGCAGAGGAGACACTTCTCTAAAGTACTAAGAACACCCTGCAGATATTGGAGCTTCTTATCCTGTCACATTGTCTCTAAGAAAGTGCTCAGCAAGCATCACTCTAAAACAAAAAAACCCATAGAAAAAGAAAAACATGTTTTTAAAATATGTTTTTTCTCTAAATGTTTCTCTAATGTAAATTATTCTAAAATGATGCCTATTGTCGTCAGAACTTTCTTACGTAAACCACTCCAATAAATACGGTTGAAAGATCCATAAAAACAAATTATGTGATATTCCTTAAAATAAATGCAACACTTTATACTGTCAATTGACAGATAATTTTTTTTTTGTGTTTTAAGGTTTGTTTTTGCTCGGTATTCAATAAATTAAATCCTTCTGGTGTATCTATAATAACAACAGAGCTTGACTGGAGCAACAATACTGCGCATGCATGCAGGCGGTAAAAAGAAGCATTGGGCTAAGCCAGTTGGCACCTCCCAGCAGAGTGCCGAAAATAATCAAGTCTAAGATCTAGTCATAAAAAATGCAAAAATATATTTGATTCCAAGAGGGTTAAGATTCAAATAGTGCTCAAAATACAGCATGAACATTGGCATTCACTGAAGCGTAAGGTAAAGCTGTGAAGGAATTCAGGTGTTGCTGGGAAACTGATGGATGTGTGAGTAAACGTCCTAATCAAAGTTGATACTAGTGTTGGCAATGCTATTCTTTTTCTGTCCAATGACATTATACATGGATCAATTGCTTGAAGTGAACAGAACGGTGGAGGAGGGCAGTTTTCTGTCACAGCTGTTAAAATCCAGATTACTCAAATTCATATTCAATTCAGGGCTCCTTAACAATGCACTTAGTGAGGAAATAGCATTGTAATTTGTTTTAATGTGTTTATGGATTAAACACAGTAAAATGTTTAAGCCTAAGAGTTTTTTATTATTTATCCAACTGTAATATTTCTTACCCCCATGATTTGTTCTTGGTTGCTTTTGGTAAAAATGGGAAATTTCTTTTTTGTGTACAGTTTGGTAGGAAATTCTTAAGGCAGGCCGTTTTGACATTTATTAGAATCGCTGTCCTCTCTATTGTTTCTTTTTGTTGATCTGTAAAATAACATTCTTCCTGGTCAAAACACCATTCCTACTAGCGAGAAATGTACGTATAGATATACTAAATTAAATTTCTGCCAGCAAAAATTTTATTTCAGGATGCCAAAAATATAATTGTACTGGTAAGAATAAACCTAGAAATCTTTACAAATTTTAAGTGGCCCCTTTGACATTTTTTCATTTACTATTTCAGGTATTCATTTTTGATATCTGAAATAGTAATTATGACAAGCAGTAACTCTATTATTTTATTTTATATAATAAATGTTATATATTTATCTTTATTTGTTTTATTGTTATGTTGTTTTTATTATTTTTTTTTTTTTCCCCAGAATCAAATCAGGTCTTAGATGAAAGTGCACATAATTGTTTCCTGAACAGCTGATTGGCTGCTGGGCGGAGCTTTAGATTCAGCTCACTTAGCCTTCCCGCTGAGCAGTTTTCCGATTCAGAAAACATTAGCTAGAGTGACTAGCCTCACTAAGAGTGAATCCAGCTTTGTGGTACCAGAAAGTCACAGTTAAAACTACAGAATGTCTTTAGTAAGAGGCTTCTCCAGATATGGTGCAAGACAGACCACTACAGAAGATCCATCCTGCCTACAGCAATCATCACCTACAGTACTAGGATACGAAATACAATAGCAGTTAATGCTACATTTAATTTCCCTTTTGGATTAATAAAGTATATTTTAATTAAATTAAATTTGAATTTAACTCTAGAGGGTCTACACTTCTGGATTTTAGTTTTTTGTCGGTTTGAGGTACCTCTTCATATTTTAACTTTGGTTTAAGCTCCCACACAACTTTTGTTTTTGTTTTGTTTTTTCATTTGTAAAAAAGTAGAAAAAACATTGTAATGTTTTCTTGAAATTATGCAATGTTGTGTAATATTGTATGTGTATGAAATGCATTAAATATGTTGATTTAAGTTTAAAGCGGAGGTGTTCACAAGGGTATTTTATACTTTAGAAAAGAACAGTGGTTTGAGCCAAAAAAACACATAGTTGCATTCCTTGCCTTGTTTTCCTGGAAATCATAATCAATGGAGTACTGCAGTTTCCCAAGCTTTTCCTTCTCCTTCACCTCCTCCTCTTTCTCATCTCCTGTTAGGCCTGGCTCAACATCGTCTTCCTCATCATCATCATCCTGGGGTTTCTGCAATGATAGAAGTTTGATAGATGGCAAAAAAGAGAGTGAGAAGATGGCACTGAAAGAGTGGTTGAGCTGACCATCTAACCTTAGGCGTCAGCAGTCAGGTTAGTCACAGCACCTACCTTCAACTTACCCCAGTGCTATAAGTGCAAACTGTTCATCGATGACCACGGTTGCAACCTGACTTGATTTGACTCTTTCCTGGGTGACACCATTTGCCGTTTTTTTGGTTTTTCATGATACAGGGATGTCAAATCTAAGCCACTTATTTTCCCTCACTATAAATTGTTGTACGTAGAAACACTTCAGCCTGTGGTGGATATTTCAAAGGACTAGATCACAGCGGTGCATGTAGAAGAGGCGGACAAGAAGCAAACAACCTTATAAAACAGTTTGATACAATAAAAACAAGAGTTTAAGACTCTTGAGAAACATGACGCCTGAAATTCACTTATCCATCTGTGCAGTAGTACACCAAAGAGAGAATACAGCTCCAGCTTAAATGCATTGTTTCAACTGGTAAACAGTAATTTACTTACATTTACTCAACTCAAATTCTTTACTATGACAAAGTTCTAACTTGACAACTTTTAAATAAAATTCAGTTAATTCTTACCAAAGAGAACAACGAATTTAGGTTAGAGCTGCATTCCCATTCTAGTATGTTTTGTAGTGAGTATGAACATTTGTTTCAAAGGCTATGTTCACTAATATCCAAAAATTGAAGGGAAGATCTTTTAATACCTTTTTTTGGTGCTAGGACTGAAAATGAGTAGATTAATGTTTAAAGCTCTTTACACCAAAGCAATGCCAGGTTTCAGATTTTACTACAACACTAATTTATGGTGGATGGATATATTAAAGGTCAAATTTAAAATACATCTAAGAAATGTATAGCTCAATGCTGGTAAATATGCCACAACTCCTTAATCAAGCTTTTATATTTCTTCTTTTTTATTATCTAATTCATGTAAAGCACTTTGTATTCTCAATTTACTGAATTGTACTATACAAATAAACTTGCCTTGCCTTACTCAACAGGTAAAAAATAGCAACCAGGTGGGACTTTTACTTTATATTCACATTTATAAAGATAATTTAGTTCTGCATCAACTCAAATCAATTGCATTAAACATTCCTTGACAGTGTTGCATTTTGTAATTCTTTTATATTCATTATTTCTATTCATTTTGAGATGAGATGTTTTGTTAAATTTCTGGCTCATAAAGCCCAATTTAGTTTAAACTGTAGGAACCATTAAAATGTTTTATGATAAGAACAGAATGATTCTCTTTTTCTATAAAAAACTCAAATTTTTGAGCATTTTTTGAGCAGACCTTGAGGTTTTCCTTGGGGGAAAAAATAGTGCCAAAACCTCCTACAGTTTCTTCATTTTTCCATGCTGGCTCTTAGTAGCCTCTCTTACCATTTTCAATTCTGTCTTTTTAATATTTTTTGGAAAAATGCCTTGGTATAGTAATATTACTGTAAATTTAGGTTTTTTTTTACTATACTTCATGTGGATATATAATGTGGTATAATGTTTTTGAAGCCTTTTCATCTTTTTACATTACATTTTTTTTGAACCATTGTAACCTGTTGGCAAATAAACAGGAAATGATGCCAGAAAACTTAAACTTGATTTCATGTAGGTCAGATGTAATATGACAGTTTTTTTGGTGGGGTCCCAAAGCAGAATAAATGCTATAACAGAATCCAAACACGTTTATCAGGCTATTGGTTTTTACTTTTCTTTTTTTTTTCTTTTTTTTACATTAAAAAACACCATTATGTACAATTTCAACATCTGAGATGTAAAAATGTCCAATATTCTTGATGATTTATTATTTATCTTTTTTTACAATAATGGAAGGAAAAAGACAGGCTTTTATTTATATCAAGAAATTATAATGACTTTGGTCATTTATTTATGTCTTTGCTTTTCTAGTTTATTGCTCTCAGAGTGGCTTTATTTATTATCTATTTAAGTCAATGATTTAAAAAGTCATCTGAAGATATTTTCGAATTGATGGCTTTATTATTTGGTCATTTTATTTTTTTTTAAATCATCATGCCTGTCTTGATTAGGCTTAAGAAATCAGGGACTCAAAGTTAAATAGATATACCGGTATGTATTATCGTGCACACGTCAGGCATCAGTGCTCTTTTTTACTTAAAGTTATTTAGCATACATCAAGTTATTATGGCCCACTGTAAAATAAAAGAATATATGTCGAAAACCTTTCTTCATGAAACCGAAAGCTCCAGCTGCCCAATAATGAGCTAGGAAAAAATACATGGCAGACACTCACAAATTAAAAAAATGAACATAACCACTTTAGAACTGCTTACACACAACACCCCCAAACAAATGCTGACATGCAGACTCTCCAGCATGCTAAACCCACTCTCTCTATATATTTATCTCTCTCCCCTTCTCTCTCTCTCTTAAACACACACACATACATTCATAAAAATATTCTCATTCTGCATCATTTTATGTTGCATTCTGGTGCTATGTTGCGCTATTACTTTTCATTCGAGCATGCCAGGCCACATAATGCAAGATCCAGGTTTATTTCTGCTGGCAAATGTTAATGCTTTGCTGAATGAAATCTGAGCGATAAATAGTCAATAACTGCAACATACCTTGTTTAGGGGTCGAGAAAAGTATTTATCTATGTCCTAAATATAGCATAATATTGGTGACCGTAACCTATTATGTCAGCAGCATGGGTCATCCAGGAAAGTTACTCTCAAGTCAAGTTGTGGCCATTCAATGGTAACCTACTGCAAGGGCATATGCTGGTCTTTGTCAAGAGTCACAGATGTTTTCATCAGCTAAATAGGAGCTTGTTTTCACATCCAAGGTATCATAGAAAAAATTTTACACCTGAGTCAATCTACAGACGAATAGTTGGTAAGTCATCTGTTGTCCCTGAGCTCCGAAGTTAATTTCTGTTTTTGCCGTAGCCTGCTCCAAGCTTTTTGTGAAATTACATTACAAGTGTTATTTGACAAATACCCAGCTTACCCCGTGCACATGCATGTTAGTGATCTCTAGTGAGTTGCTCAGTGCGCTCAACATTCAAAGGCTTAACCATAGGATGAGTTTCATGTTCACTTCAAACCATATAGCATTAAAAAAAAAACGTTGTTGTTTTTTTCATTTAATAAAAAAAAACTGCAATCCTTGGATATTCAAGACATGGTAGTTGATGCAGCATAACAGTTAAGTGGATTCTGCAAAGCAACCTAAATACTCCCAAAGAGTCCTCAAGCACCTGCAGCACCAAAACTTGCAATAAACTAGGGAAGCCAAAGCAATCATTGTCATCAACATTGCAATCAAACCCCTCCAAGCCCAGCCCAGCCCCACCCCCCTCCAGCACCGTCCCCACCCTGCCCTGGTCTGTGCTTACACAGAGCGGCCAGAGAGGGGTGCCGCGTGCTGTCAGACCTACCGTAGACAGAGAAGTCCACCACAGTCAAGATACACGGAGCACACATAAGACACAAAGCAGGAAGGAGGAGAGCAGAGACAAAGGAAGAGATTGAACTCACAGCAGACACCAAAGAAGGGCAATCACAGCAAATGCAGTAAGCTGCTCTGCAGAGAGTGAGGAAAATGACAGATGGGAAAGCCTCATTATTGGCACAATTATGTGCTTTTAGTGTTTTTTTTTTTTTTTTAATACCTGCATTTTTACTGTTTTTCCATCACAAAAACATAAAATGAAACCTAAAGTAACAGAAGTGTGAAATCTAGTAATTTCTGATAATGACTGTTTATTGAGTGTAAAAGAAACAATCATAAAAGAGGCTGTGTAACCAAGAACCCTGTCATTTTGTTCTCAAACCCCAAAGCCCACATGAAAGAGAGTGCAACGATAACATTTATCACAAGTACATTGAATAAACAGAGAAAGAAAGAGAAAATGAAACAAATAATTATGAATGACAAACAGTGTTATCAAAATCTGTGAAAAAACACTCTTGACTGGGTTAGGGAAAAACAAGTTAAAAAACCTTGTTAGACTCTAATCAGTAAGAAGTATAATAAATTAGCAGAGTCATTTCTATGACTCATAATGTCTATCTTTGTTTTACTATAGTGCCTCTCATTAAACCCAACAGACATTAGCTAATAGAGTCATGAAAGGGTCAAATATATTTGTGGCTCATTTAAAGGGCCAATATAGATTTTCTTAGCTGGGACTCAACCTGTGCCAGTGAAACATACCTCGCCTCCTTTCAAGTTCTTCATTCCCATGTCACCCTTTCCTTTCTTGCCCTTCTTGTTTTTCTTCTTCTTGCAACAGCATTTCTTGATGATGCAGAAGCAACACGTTAGAATCAGTAAAGCAGCGACCACGGCAATGGCAATGATGGCCCAGGATGGCACTGAGGAGAACACAGACCAGTTCATAGATGGAACAGCCCCATTAAAAAACAAAAATGAGAAGCACATACTCTGAAGTCTGACTGAATGATAATTTAGCCTGCTTCATGTCATGCCCAAGGCCACATGGATTTAGTGAGAGGTGGAAGGTTAGCAATTAGATTGGAGGAAAATTAGATTTCCTTGCCATTAGGAAGAGCAGCCAGTGATCAATACCAAATAAAGACATTATGGGACTGATGATGCCTGCAGCAAAAGAGAAAATCTAATTCCAAAATAATTGTTGAGAGCCACGTCGATAACAGTTTTGGCTTTTGCCAGGCACTCACGTGGGATCTTGTCGATTTCATTCAGGAACTTGTTTTTGATCTCATCAAAGGCATCGTTCTTGTTGACTGGCTCCGTGGAGTTCTCAGCAGAGACTAACGCTACGGGGGCTGGAGTAACAGTCAAGTCACTGGCCCCCGTTGGTTTGGCTGCAACCATGGGCGTCGTTTGTTGCTTGAACAAGTTAAACTTCATTACTAAAGCTGCACGATCAGCCCCTGAAAACAGCATAAAAAGGCACAGCAATAAATAACAAATTTCTGAATTGAAATCAATAAATTAGAATATGTGTTCCAATGAGGCATCTTTGTCAGATCAATTGTATTTTTTAATCAAAATAATAGACTTTAAGCAGGTATTAAATATACAAATCTTTTAATCTAAATTTCTGTATTTCCAGTTTATTTTTTATTAGTCTAATGTAACATTGTAGCTCTCCAAGAAATTAATCATGTTTGCTTTAAGCAGAACTCCTCAGAATTTATATAAGAATGCCTAAACACCGTTGGTCTTTGTTTAATAATCCATAAAATATTTAAGGTTATTGAATTTAGGTACTGTAATAAATGTGATATTACTGTATTCAAATTCAACGAGATTTTCCTTAGATTACTAAATATTTATTTTTGGTGCATTATTATTACTAAGATAAAATATAAGAAATATCAAGCAGAGTGGAGTATCCGTCTATATTTACCACATAGTTTCTTGAGACATTTTGCATATTTAGCTCAAATATACATAAATGAGGAATATATGTGATAAAAAGCATGAAGCCAATGTAGTGTAAATGACACAAGATGGTTCATGATCATTTTTCATATCTACAGAATCAGACATCCCAAACTCCTATAGGTTTCAGGCACTTATGGCACAACCCAACTAAGGACCCAAATGGTTTAATGTTCCATTAGCGTTGAAATGTGTTGGTAATGAAGACTGTACGGTTTTGGGAAGTTTTTTCATGTTTCTACTCTGAAGTAGCATAATTTAATGGTTTCCGCAGACAGAAACATCAGCCTAAGCAAGAAATGAATCCAAGAAAGATAGATAAATAAAGTGATAACAAGAAATCTAAGAATAATGGCTTGGATAAAAACATTTGTATTAGGTTGCTCTTTGAGGACAAAGGGAATGTATGTTAAGCTTTTCTTTTGATAATAAATGCAACCAACAGCCATAACCATTTTTAAAGAATTTTATAGATAATGAGAAATTTTACGCTTTTAATGGGAACCTATTTAGCAGTGGGGTAGTTATATGTGCTTTGCATAAAAACATAATTCAAGATTTCAGTCCAAAAGCTTTCCATGACCCAGAAAATGTGTTTCAATATTTTTAACTGGGTCCTCAGTACCCCCTGTCCTGCAGGATTTAGATGTCTCTGCTCCAGCATGCCAACATCACGCATCACTCATTTATTAAAGTCAGGCAGGTGGAGGCAGGGGAATACCTGAAATATCCAGGACAGTGGATCCTAAAGGAGTGAGTTTGAAAACCAATGATCTATTTCAACTCCAGAAAGGTGTATTTTTAACGAAGCTTTGAAGAAATCCTGACGAAGCACTATTAGCTAGTAGCACTGCAACAAGCTTCATTCATAGAAGCTTACTTTGACATTTCTATTAAACTGTCTCAGCAATGGAGGGCCACTACTTAGTCAACACAAAAGTGATGACCTTATGATCTTCTTTATGATAAAAAAAAAAATCTGTAAAAATTAAGTCTAATTTGCTGTTATGTACCTTACTAAAATCATTTTGAGCAGCAGGAGACCATAACATCTTTTTTTGCAACCTGTTTTAACTGAAACCAGGTAGGGATCAGTTAGAATCTCATCTCCACATTTTGCACATTGTGTATAATACGGACGATAGCAGTGCTTATTTTATAAGTAGTATCTAAATGTGTTCCGTTACAAAGTGTGCAAAATAACTAATCCACACTGGCTTGTAAGTAATTGCTTTATCTGCTGCCACACATATAAAAAATTAAAATAATTGTGTTTTTTAAGCTTTGTAAAAGAAATCTAAATGCCCAAAATATTTGGAATATCATTTTGATATATTAATAATCACAGATTATCAAATAATTTTTAGGACAAAGCCATAAACCCAGTCTCTCTAAAACCTCTTACCTGGTGGTTGCATGCCATTTGAATAGCAATGACCATTGTAAATTTTATTTATTCATTTGTCTTATAAAACAGACATGGTACTTAAGTGCCAAGGAAGGAAGAAACAAAGGTCACATCTTAAACCAAGAAACCTTTGATTTGATCCTGAACTAAAAACATTGTTTTAGTTTATTTATTTAGAGATGAATGCAATCTTTTAAATTCATAGTCATCATTGAAGGTTATATACAAAAAGTCCAAAAGTCCATCAATACAATATAATATATGAAAATATTAGGGATAGCAAACTTTCAATGTGGTTTTAATATGTCACAACTTTAGGTGAGGACAGTTTTACTAAGTTTATTTAAAAGCAAGAATTTGTGGTGAAGATTAGAAAAGGCCCTGGAAAATTAGTGTAATTCTTAACCATTTCCCTCAAGATCATGACAAGATAAAGTAGGAAGGCTAAAAAGATACATACAGTAACTTGAGAGTCTTGTTTTTTTGTCTTACAGTATATCCTATTTGGCAATACACTTGAGTATAAATTCCAATTTGCATGTAAGGAATTGAAACTGCTTTCAGAGATTAACACATGTAAAATTCCTTGCTTCGGGTTTTATATTGCGTTGCAAGGACACCCACATTATAAAATAAAGTGCTTGGGAAAGACATTTAATTTAAAAGCCCACAAGAGTCCTGGAAACTTGTAATATATTACTGAATACTTGCAAAACTTATTCTATTTCCCACCCCTGTGGTAAATGATTAGTGATCAGTTAGCATAAACAGAAAACTTTAACAAAAAATCCTAATAGTAAATCCCATTTTTAACACTACATCCAATTCTAAGTCATTAGTGCCAAAGCAATAGAGATGTTTGACCATGCAAAATATTTCTAGTGGCCTGTACAAAAACAAATTAAAGTCAAAGCAGGGCATCTCAGAGTATCAAATGCAGCAAAATAAAGCCTGCAATTTAGTCCAGAGTATACAAGTGAGCTTGATTTACATTTACAAAGCAGAGTAAAAAACAAGCACAACAAAAGAAGACCTGAGTTCTTGATTTATTTCTAACATGTCGGTGTGTGGTAAAAAAATTCATCTCCAATTTTGTAAGCGCTAATTTCCAAGTTACTTTCAGAGATGCTGTTTCTATTTATTGTGGCAAATAAATTATTCAAACTGAGGCTCACAGAAGCAAATATAAGCTTATATTATTCAGGGCTGTAGACAGGGTCATGCCTTTTGAAAATGTGAGTGGTTCGAAAACCTTTTTCTGTGATGAAACTAGCTGACAGATATTTTGTATTAGTCTAGTACAATGGTAACTGTGCTGCAGATAAATTATATGAACTTGCTACAGTAGGTTGAAAATAATTACACTAAAATGATATATGTAATATATTTAAAGATATATTTATAAGATTATGTGTGTTACTAAAAATAAATATCTGCACAGCTAGGACAATGTTTAAGGGTCACATAAGAGGTTTAGATTATATCTATCAATTAAATTAACAGCCATGAGTGATTCCTCTACAACGTCCTCTATAGAGGACAAAAAGAGCATTGAACGAAACTGTTTTATGACCACCATCAGTTCTGTAATAAAGTCAGTTATATTAGCCTGGCTTATGTTACATTAACATTCCAAATTTACATATTTAAACAAAACTGCAAACTAAGGCTTCCAAACTAAGGCTTCCAAGACACATACTGTAGAACAAACTTAGCAGCTATCCCCAAAGGTAGTTTGCTTATTTTGGTCCTCTACTCTGAAAAGTAATAAGACTGGAAAATATTCATTGAAGTTTTTTTTTTGTTTTGCTTTTTTCTTTTTTGCTTTTTGTCATACGTCTTATTAAATAAAAACTAAGCATGTTAAAGTTCAAGATGTGGTTGCCCTGTTATCCTAAATCACCTTTTAATCGTCATGGATATCAATAGACTTTTTTTTATCTGTTTTTTCGATCTTTTTACCTTGTATTTTTCATTCACTTTTGCCAATGTTTATGTCCATATCCTAGATTTGTTTCTGCACCAGGAGTTTGACAATATTAATCAAATAAAAAAAAAAAGAAGAGAAGAAGAAAAGAAGAGTGTTTTTGGTTAGGGAAAAGAGCCTCATCATTCCACACATACGGTCTTTTTCATCCATGAAAAACCTGACATCACTTTACCCCTAGGGTGAATAAGGATTTTTAAATAGCATGTCTTCAGTGTACACTTAACATTGTAGCAAATGATGTATTTGCAGCTGAAAAAGCAATATCTACAGCAGAATCAATGCTGTATCAGCTGCCTCTGTAGTGGCACCACATGAATGCTGCATACTGGATTTTCAAAGAGTTTTTGTCAACATCGAAAACTGTTTTTTCCAAATAAACTAAATAAACTAAAAACTTTAATTTGAGTTCACACTGTTGAACAAGTCTGTGTGCTAAAGATAAGTATATTAGCATAAGCAGTTTACATATGCTAGTCAAGGTTCATCATTAACACTTTGACCATTGATTTATAAAGTCTATATAAATAGGCAATATTTGAATACAGTGTTGACTGTATATTTAATGCAGAGTTAAAATAAAAGAAGATCAAAATAACTTTAATTACGTTGACCTCTTACTGTAGTAATTGAGGTAATCGTTTTTGCAAGTCTTAGCACCAAATATTTGTATCTTTATCATAGTTTAGGGAGGAGGAGCCTAGGAGCTTGCTTAAGTCACTTCTGCTATGTTAAATAAACACATTGTCCTTATTTGGCTTACCACTGGGTAAATCAAACAACAATTAACAAAGAAAACAGGTTTACATTAAGAAAGCTTACCATGGAAAAAAGGAAAAAGGAGAAAAAAGTTTGCCTTTATGAAGATTATGAAGCACGGGGATTATCCCATATAAATTTCACATAATACTCTGGCCATAGAGAAATGCGTAAATTTTTATCTCCATCTCTTAACATGGACCTCACGTTTTTAGAGTGTGATTCATTATAATTAGCAAAAAAAGTTATGCTGCACTGCCTAAAGGAGCGTAGCCTCAAACATGAGCTGGCCCTTATCACAAAATCCACTCTTTAGAGTCGGATGGTCATTA